ATTCCAGAACTCACAGCGGAGGAGGCAGCAGAATACCACACTCGCTACAAACGCACTTCCGGCATCCGCGCCGAAGATGACCTCTGGCACCAGCGAATGGGACACCCCTCACGCCAGACACTCGCCAACTGCCTCCGTGCAAAAGTCTTTCCGCCAGGAGTACTGCTGCGCCCCGACGGAACGGAGTTACAGCACACCACCCCCCACCCATCCACCTGCACAGTTTGCTCCACAGCCGCACTCTCTCACACTGCCTATCCCTCTCTGGAGCCAAGCACCAACCGCTACAAGAAATTAGAGAAGGTGTACAGCGATTTCATCGTACTCACCTGCGACGGACTCAACGGCGAAAAATACACGCTGACCTTCATCGACGCCTACTCACGCCACGTGTGGGTCGCTAATGTTGACGCCCGCTCCAAAGCACCGGAGGTGTTTCGTGTCTTCCTCGCGCACGCGCAGCGACAGTCCGGAAGAAAACTGAAGATCTGGCAGAGTGATGGGGCAAAAGAATTTCGCAGCCATGAACTGGAGAGCGTGCTCACCGAGAAGGGGATCAAGCACGAGATTTCCCTTCCCTACGCTCACCAGCAGCAAGGCGTTGCTGAGCGGGTCAATCGAACCCTCATGACTAAGGTCCGCGCCATCATGAACCAGTCTGGCCTACCCAAGAAATTCTGGCCGTACGCCATGAATCACGCGGTGCGCCTGCACAACCTTCTCTCAACCACCGCAAACAGAGACAACCTGTCACCTCACATGAAGTGGACCGGTTCAAGGGGAGATCCCTCCATGCTGAGGGTTTGGGGGTGCATGGTGCAATATCGGCCCACCTCAGCCACAATTGGCAAGTTCGTTCATCGTGCGCGCTGGGGAGTTCATCTCGGACTCAGTCATGAACATAAAGGATGGCTCATCCTTGACATGGACAACCAAGAAATTGTCCCTGCGCGTGACATTCTCTTCTACGAACGACTCACCTTGACGTAGTGGATTGAGGACCAACGTCGTAACCGGGCTCGCAGCTACGCCAACAGCGGCCGCAGCTTCGCGAGCGCCGAAGATGAAGCAGTAGCAGCAGCTCTGGACCGGAACGACACTGACGAACATCCCAACATACCCCCTCGCCCACGCAACGACGATGATAGCGACGCAGACCCCGCGCCAGGACCATCACGACGCCAGACAGAACCAAGCATCGTCGCACCCGGCTACGAGAGCGGAGACGACGACGTGATTGAAGTCCCCACCACTGAAGAAACTACCAACGTGTCAGGTCTCCAACTCCTTGGCCTGCACACATCTGTCTCTATGGTCGCACGGACCGTGGAACCTCAGAACCCCCGCCAGGCCCTCACTGGTCCTCACGCCAAGGAGTGGCGTGCTGCAATGGATGCGGAACTAAAGGCGCTAGAATCACGCGACACTTGGGTTCTCGTCGATCGTGCAGCAGTGAAGGGGAGGAGGGTGCTCAGCGGAAAATGGGTCTTCCGTCTTAAAACCAACGCTGACGGCACCATTGAACGCTTCAAAGCACGATGGGTCGTACGCGGGTACGACCAGCGCCACGGCATAGACTTCGATCAAACCTTCGCTCCCGTCAGCCGCCACACCTCAGTCCGAATTCTACTCGCTATTGCTGCCGCGAAGCACCTACCTCTGCGACAGATCGACGTGAAGAACGCGTTTCTATACGCGTTGGTGGATGCCACCATCTTTGTGGAACAGCCGCACACCTACGGAGAAGGTGACCCCAGAGTCTGTCAACTGAAGAAGTCACTCTACGGAATCCAACAGGCGCCACGACTCTGTCAGCAACACCTGCACAAGATCCTCCTCGAAATCGGCTTCAAACAACTCCCACACGACCCGGGAATGTATCGCCTCCACTTCAGCGGCGACTACATTCTCCTGACAGTCTACGTCGACGACCTGCTGTACACGGGGACCTGCAACAAACTCCTTGACCAGTTTCAGGAGAACCTGGCGCAACGCGTGGACATCACCATCAACCTTGAAGTAAAGCAGTTCTTGGGGTTAAACATCACTTACGCGCCAGAGGCAATTCATCTGTCAGCCTCCAAGTACGCAGAGCAACTGGGTGAACGCTTCAACATCTCTCCCGCACCACTCTCAACTCCCCACCGCAGCCCGAGCACCACCTACAAACCGGATAACAAACCCCTGTCGCCCGTAGGACTCCAAATGTACCAGCAAAAGTTGGGGTGCCTGCTGTTCGCCTCTGTCACCTGCCGACCCGACCTTGCCTACATTGCTAGCCAACTGGCGCAGTACTCTCGCAAGCCAGTGACAGAAAACCAGCTGGACCTGGAGCGCGCCCTACAGTACTTCATCTCCACTCCTGACATCGGACTCTCCTACTCCACACTGACGACAACCTCCTTCAACCTCAACGGCTACGTGGATGCAGACCACGCAGCTGATCCTACAAATCGACGGTCCCGAACCGGCTTCGTTTTTCGCCTGGAACCAACTGGACCAATTTCCTGGAACTCCCAGAAGCAGAAACTGGTTGCCCTGTCATCAGCTGAAGCAGAATATATCGCCGCGACAGCAGCAGTCCGCGAAGGCCTGTACCTACAAGAGCTGCTGTAGGAGGCGAAAATTCCAACCTCACCTACCTTTCGTCTCCACTGCGATAACCAAAGCGCCATCAAAATCGCGAACAAACCAGGATTCGTGAACCGGACGAAGCACATTGCGCTTCGATATTTTTTCGTCAAGGACGAAATCGACCAAGGCAAAGTGGACCTCGCTTACTGCCCAACCACCGAGATGGCAGCAGACTTTCTCACCAAGCGTCTACCACGTCAGCAGTACAAGCACTGCTCTGACCTCACCAGAGTAGTCAAACGAGTCAACTCCATCAGCAATCAGGAATGAAGGGGAGTGTTACGATGTGAAATTTTAAAAAACACTACATGTGTGTTTAAAAATTATAATCTTTGTGAAGGCACTCCTGAATGCTGCAGGAGCCGACTCTACCGAGTACGAAGATGAGGAGTCAGAAAGAGCCGAAGCGACACAGCAACCGTCAGACTAAGACCGATGCAGGCAGAAACATTTGAAGTGAAAAGAGCGGGAACAGGTTTTTCCCGCGCCGCACGGTTTCTTTGAATTCAGTTGCAATAAGGGAATGTACCCCTTAGAGTACATGGCTAGTCTAGGACCTTTCGTATTCTCCTGTACTCTTATATAAACCCGATGTATGCATGTTATCATCATCTCAGTCATTTTACATTCACTCTGACCTGAGGTCCCAAAACTTCCGCTGCAATACCACTCTGCGATCAATCCTGAGCGATCCTTTGCTAAGTCCCATTTGGGATTGTAATAGAGATCAAGGGCCCACCACCACTAGACTAGAAGTACGTGAACCTTCCTGAAGTGACCCTGGTTACGATCTTTTATGATCGGAGTAGTTCTATTACCACAGACCGAAAAAATTGAGAGCCGTTTTGTATATATATATATACATATATACAGCTCGTACAAAAATGGTCAAAATCAACTTTTTTATAGCATGATTGTGAACTTGAAAATTTATTAAAAAAAACACATATTCCACGAAAGGACCTCGGGGCTTTTACTTTTTATAATTACTGCAACGTTGGCCTTTTTTTTTTTGCATGTGAAAAAAAACACCTCTTTAGAATTACATGTTTCATTTTTAAAAAAAGAACCATAAACGCCTTGTGGCAAGGGGTTTAGGGTTGATGCTCTCAAATTCATTTGCCATCTGAAAGGGGTATAGACTTGTTTGCCCCAGTTTCTTCTAGTTGTCATTTGCGTGATGGGCTGCTAGTGTTTAGTTACCATACGCGTTAAGCCAAACGTGTTAAGCTAGTTACCAACGCGTCAAAAGAGTTACCAAACATGTTAAAATCGTTAACGTACGCGTTATAGTGCCCCATGTAAGTTACCATTGACATATTTTCCCTATATAATAGCCTACGAAGTTTGTAACTGTACGAAACGTGAGAGCCTACAAACACGAAACTGCAACCTATGAGACGCGGCATTTTCATTATCGAGGATGGACCAAATCGTTTTGAATCTTGTGGAGGAATGTGAGGCGCGTATCCCAGTTGTTCGCCGAGAATTATCGCGAATGCGCGAAGGTTATGTCGCTGAGCCGGTTCTCACAAATCAAGAACATGGCCACGTCTGGTGGAATTGCGATGCTTTCGTAGACTTTGCACACGTGTCGCAGAGGACCACGATTCGCTAACCGCGTCGTTGCTCTACCCCTCGGAATAATGCGGCTCCCCGTTTAGCTTACAGTGGCGGCACCGATTCCTAATGTCACTGTTTATGGGGTCCGTGATTCGCATGGCATCGAAACTGCTTTGTGCGACTGGAAAATTTGTCGCGTCGTAAATCGTGATGCAATGCCTGCAGGCTCGCACGGCCTTGATTCGGAACCTGGTGACCATATTCGCAGATCTCGCATGCTGGACACACTCGCGCACAGCCCAACGGGGAGGACGATTCGTCAGGCCCTCGCGAAGTCCCATGATGCGTCGTGCAGAATCAGGCAGACGAGGCGCGTGTCGCTCAACCATAACTATCCGTCGCAACGACTTGTCCCTTCCCACCACGATTCTGCGCGTCGAAATTCCTCACCCTCCTTCCCCCCCTTGCCCTTGCTCCTCTCCAAAATCACACCCGCCATTCATAAGTTCGAGAAGCAAGCATCCTTGCAAAGCAAGCATCATTGCAAAGCAAGCAAGCCGACAGTGCAGTTGACTTTATCCCTGTAGTTGACTTTAGTGAGGCCAGGACAGCAGGGACAGCACCTAAAGCAACCCCCAGCTTCTCCAGCAGCCCGACGAGTTTATTCGTAGTGCTCGCTTCTGCTGTTAGGGAAGATCGTTGCAGGAAGTTTACTTGAAACCCTCACTTGTGTATGAGCCAGCATCGTTCTCGGCTCAGCCCCTCCCTGCTCACTCCGTGTCCGTCGGCAACTGCGAGCCAAAATGGTGCAGATCAAAGAATTGTAAGAAGCGTTTCTTTTACGTCGTTGCGTGTAATCTCGCCACTCCAATTCCGATTGGTTCTCAATCTTCTCGCTGCTTTGCGCGACGCGAACTGTTTGATTCTCGTCTGTGCTAGGAAGTTCTGCTTGTTTTTGTCGGAGTTTGCCATGGAGTGCTGTTGTCAAAAATTTCGTGCAAGATTTACATCTGACCTGTTTCGTGCTCCTGTTTCTGCTTGTTTCTTGTTTTGGTGTGGACCTCGGGTTACTCCCTCGCGTTTATCGACGGTTTTGTCAATGACAACGGCGCTGGCTGTGCGCTCGTCACTCGTGTCTCCTCACTCGTCTCTCGCCCGTGATCGCGTGTGCTCCATCCTCAGCCGTATCACCATGCCCTTTACTCTCGACGAGGTACGCTTACGTGAATCAACCGGCTCACTCGGCTTTTCTCGTCCATTCCAGCTCAACTCAGACCAGCGAGTGATGCACATCGAAGCAGATTTCTCTCCGTACCCTTACCACTCCGCATCCTCTCCATTCTCTCATCTTTTTCAGTCTCCTCCCTCCTTTTCTCCCTCACATTCCATTCTCAAATGTGCCAGTATCGAGTGGGGCAGACGTACATGCGGTCGCGAATGCAAATGGAGAACACCAAGGGGCGCGAGGGCATCGAGGTGATCGCAAGCGAGCCGTTTAAAGACGACGTATTGGGCGAGGGGCACTTTTCGCACGTCGTCTATCACTTTCAAAGCCGCGCGCCCGCGTGGATCCGCGCGCTCGCCCCGGTCGAGGCGCTGCGGCTCGAAGAAAAGAACTGGAACGCGTTTCCCCGATGCCGCACGGAGATTAGCGTAAGCTAATATGGGGAAGGAGGGAAGCGAAAAGGGAAGGGGGGCCAAAAGGGGCGCCGAGAAACCAAGGCGACGCTACAAGCAAAACGTGGAAGCTTTTCCTGCGCGCTGATTGCTTCTCTACCTCGTTAATGACCGTGCTCCACCTCTCCTGTCTTCCCCGTTCGTTACAGTGCCCGTACTTCTCCAACTACAAGATCACCACCGACTCGTTTCACGTCGCCGACCGTGGCGAATCGGAGAACGTGAGTGTCGTGCACACTGTCGCAGGGTATTTCGCTTCCAGAGAAATTCTGAAGTCTGTCAGAAGCTCGAATGGCTCACATTGAACTTGCCGATGTGGGCTGAAGAGCACTGAAACATCCCTGAATGTTCTGCGTTTTTCTGTGTTCTTATCTTCGAGTGCGACCTGCGCTCTGACTGTTGCTCCTCAATCGACCATTCGTCTTGTCTCATCCCCATCCGCGTCGCCTCCAGGCGCTGAAGCTGTCGGAGGCTGAGCTGGAGCTACGCAAGGTGGACCACTTGGACATCGCGTCGGCCGACAGGGACATGTGGTCGCGAACCATCGCGCGGAAGCGCACCGACCCCTCCAAGATCGCCCTGCTTAAACTCAACCGCGGCCCGCTCGCCCCCGGATGGCAGGTAAGCGAATAAGCAGTCGGGTAACTAGCCAGCAACAGCATTTGCTAGCTATTTTTCTCATAAAGGCTTTCACTCATGTTCGGTCTTCGGTTCCTCTTCCCTGTTTCCGGATGCAGGAAACGTGTCAGCCTGTAATGACGGTCTACAAGGTTGTACACGTGGACGCACCCTACTGGGGGATCGGTCGGCAGATGGAGCTCGCGACTATCGCGGTGAGTTCCGTCGCAGGGAATTCTGCCAGCTATCTCACTCAATCGGCTCTTGTTGCATCTCTTCGATAACTGCAGAAGTGGTTTTTTCCCGTGTCACAACTCTAGCGGGGGTATCTTCACTTGAAGCCCGCTCTAACTCTAATGAATCCCCATCCCGCCCTCCCCATCCCACAATCTCCCTCCGGATTCCGTTCAATTGCAGGCGCAACGCGCTCTTTACCTGGAGGCGCACAGGAAGTGCTATGGGTGGGCAGACGACTGGTGCTCTTTGACTGTGGCTGATGCACGGCGGATAGAGCAGGAGAACATTGACAAAATGCGAAAGGTGAGGGGTTGATGGTAACTTGGGCTTGTAACACGTGCTGCAAGCTTGCTGGTGACATACTTTCCTGGTTTTCTTAAATTCCTCGCAAGGGAGTATCACATGCGGGTGTAGCTTTCATTTGCATTGTGCATCTCTCTGGTCAATAATAAAAAAGCACTTCGAGAAACAATATCATCATCACCCTAACCGTCACCTTGTTTGTACATACACCTTGTGCCCACAGAGCCTTTCCTTGAGTGACCGCTTTGATGAAGAAGCTTCCAGCGAGTCAACAGAGGATGCAGAAGAGGGAGAGGAGGAAGAGGAAGAGGACATGTTCAACACGGTGGCACCCCTGCCTGCTGTTGCTTCTGTGGCTGCATAAGTCTACGGACAAAATAAGTCTGCATTGCTGCAAAGAGCACTGCCATGCCATGACGACTGTACACAAAGAGAGCACCAGCAGTGGCTGGGTGGAGACTGCAAGCTTGCAGTAGGTGCAATACTGAGTAGGCAATTAAGGTGGGTGGCAGCATGCCACAGCTTACGGAATGCACGATCACTGTGCTCACTCGCTGTAGGAGAGACAGTTTGGTGCCACGGATTTATTTTATGTAAAATTGTACTGCTCGCTTACGGGACCTCCTTAATATTCAGTACGAGAAACTGGGATGGATGTGCCATCTCAGGATGATATTGTTGGCATGGTCGGCTGATGTATAGCACTGTTGTAACCCCATAACAACAATAGCAGTGGAAAATGTACGGCCAAGCATTCAGCATGACACAGACAGGTGTTTGGGTGTCTTGTCTTGTCCTTCCCCTATTCCAGGGATTGTCGTTGACCGTAAAAAATAATGAACGCATGTTTTTGAAAGCTGGCAGAAACTACGTTATGTTTTCTGTTCTTCATATTCTCACCATTTTACTTCTCATTTGTCATATGGTTCTCATTTATCGTATGTTCCCTATCTGAACAGCAACACCACATCCCTCGCATCCCTATCCATCAACATCAACCGCTGATTGCGACTACGTTTTTTATTTCGGCACGTCGTAACCCCAATTACTGCAGTCGCTGAGACATCGTGCAGGACACCTCTGAGCGTCGTCGCATTGTGCGCAGATGTCGCGTACTAGTAACAAGGCACTCTCACAAGCACGTCAATTCGCGAAGCTCTCGCAAATGCCAGCCTGTGCAATTTGCAAATCCTACATTCGAAGCGCATGCCTTTCCACCAATCTACATCCGCTATCGTAACAGCTGGTCACTCGCTCGCCCTTCCTGCCACCTCAATCCCCCACCCCTCCCCATCCACCTGCTCAAATCTCTCCTCTTTCCCCCTCCCCCCCAGACCCCACCCTTGCTTTTCCTCATTCAACTCCATCCGCCATACAACATCTGTAGTGAGACGAGAATCTTGTTTGCTCTCCCATTCCCCCAACCAAGAAACCCAACGAAGTCTTTTCCGTCACCCAATCCAGTGCTCTTGACCAACGGCTGGAAACGAGAAACAGTAAAGCAACGCACCTTCAGCTCCTCGAGCACGGCCTCTCGAAGTGCTCGTTTCTTCTGCAAGGGTGTTGGAAGGAAGTGTCAACTGACTGGGAATCCTAGCAATTTCATCCAACGACCTTGCGTCCAACGCGGCTCAGCCCCATCCAGTTTCGCGCCGCGCCCGTCGACAACTGCTAGTCAGAATGGTGCAGATTATGGAATTGTGAGATGCAAAATGATTCTCCGGACGCGCTTCCTCGTTTACCCAAGCATCTGACTTGTTCCCCTCGTGCTTGTTTCTTGGTTTCCGCGGTCTGCGGGGTTCTCCCTCGCCGCGATGTCATTGTGGCGAGTTGATTTTGAGGCGACTCAAAAAAACTTTTTTTAAATTGTTCCCTCTTGCTTGTTCCTTGTTTTGCGTGGTCCCCGGGGTTCTCCCTCGCTGCGATGTCGTTGTGACGATATCGACGGCTCTCCGCGCTCGTCGCTCGCCTCTCGTCGCCTCGCCACCTCCCATCGTCCGTCCGTCGCGCGTGGTTCACCTGCAGCCTCATCACGATGCCCTTTTCTCTCGAAGAGGTACGCACACGCGCACGCGCAAGCATACTACCCATGCGCATGCCATGGTGTTACTTTTGAAATGCGACGAGGTGCGGATGCCACTGGCATTCTCAAAAGTAACACCAGCGATGCCCTTTTCCCTCGACGAGGTACGCACACGCGCACGCGCACGCTCATGCGCATGCGCATGCCTATGCACATCTACCCTTCACTTGCCATTTATGAGATGCCTCACGGATCGTCTCACTTCATTTCACGGACAGGCGCACCCACCCTTCAACGCAAGCCGTACCTTTGCAGCTTGAGGCGGATAAAAACCCTATACTTCCTGTCCAACTAGACGCAAGCCACGCCAGCCACGCGTGCGCTAAACAACACGGAACATTCCAACCAGTCCTATCCACGCAAGCCACGCCAGCCCTATCCTTCCTTTCTCTCAACCCCCCCGGTCCGTCACCCTCGCCTTCCGACCGACCTAGCACACCACCTCAAGTGGGCCGCACCGCACCCACGTGCACTCGCGCATGCAATCTACCTTCTCTCACCTCCTTTGTCTCTTTCCTAACTTCCCTCCTCACACCCTCCACGTACATTATCGCATGTGACAGTATCACGTGGGGCACACGTACATGCGGTCGCGCATGCAGATGGAGAACACCAAGGGGCGCGAGGGCGTCGAGGTGATCTCTAGCGGGCCGTTCAGAGACGCGGTTCTGGGCGAGGGGCACTACTCGCACGTCGTGCACCACTTTCAGGGCCGCGCGCCCGCGTGGATCCGCGCGCTCGCGCCGCGCAAGGCGCTGCGGCTGGAGGAGAAGAACTGGAACGCGTACCCGCGCAGCCGCATGGAGCTCCGCGTACGCGTGCGGGGGAAGGGACGAGAGAGGGAAGGGGGGGAAGGGTGAGAGGGGAGGGAAGGGGAGGGGAGGGGAGGGGAGGGGTGTTGAGAAACCAAAGCTGCATTTGTAATGTACCGTGGAGTGGTTGGTTTACCTAATTGTGTTGACTCACATATTGCTTTGCTTCTCATACCTCGTGCGTGGGTGCGTTCTGATCCGTTCTCCACATCTCCTGTCGCCCCCTTTCTCCACCTCCCCCCCCCCCCCCGACAGTGCCCGTATTTCACCAACTTCAAGATAGTCGCTGATACGTATCACATCGCTGACCGAGGCGACACGGAGAACGTGAGTGTTGCACGTCTTGGGTTTAGGATGCTACTCGCCAGGGATAGGCGTACAGGTCTGGAATGCACAAACCTGAGAACGTGAGTGTTGCACGTCTTGGGTTTAGGATGCTACTCGCCAGGGATAGGCGTACAGGTCTGGAATGCACAAACCTGA